TATCTGCTTAAATAAATATAAAAGACGAATATGTGAATGTTACAGTTTAGGAATTCTGAATATTTAATTCTAGTGACGTCATGCACCTTTCTGATATAAAGAGATTGTGCACGATTATATACATAATATTATTATGTGCATGAATTATATAAAAATGTTTCCATTCATGCGTTGGCAATCGTAGAAAGCACAATTGTGACAGCAACACTTTCGTATTATGGCAATTTTCTGTATTCATTGTAAATATATGAATGGCATGACAACGTTAATGTTACAACACAATGATGAAAGACCTTTCTGAATCGTGTGTCAGAGAAATATTAATGACATGATGTATTGTTCTATTATTGACGTAAAAGTGTCAACAGTTGATAAGGTTTGGTGGGATATTCTGATGAGAATGAATCTGATATGAAACCATCAACATCAAATATAACTGAAAAAGAACGAATTAAGTTATTAAGTCAAAATTTTCTTGACTGAAAGTATTTTTAATTTCATTATTATTGTGTAATGCATCATAAATTTGTCAATTTTTATTAGCTCACCAGTTCCGAAGGTTCAGGGTGAGCTATTAGTATCATGAGCTATTAGTATCAAAGGGGGATGTTCCGTCGTCATGCGTCAACAATCATCTTCTCTGAAAGTGATGTTCAGATTTACCTCAAATTTTGTCTGTAGCATCCTTGTGACAGTCACACATAAATTTACTCATGCCGTTTCAATTGGCCCCTTTTAGGGGTCAACAGAGCTAAAAATAGAAAAACTTTTTAACATCTTCTACTACTAAATTTTAGGTTAATAATATTTTATTGCAACTATATAACACATGTCAGATATGAATAACACACAAAAAAGAAACAAATGTAAAATATAAGTATAGTGCAAATGGGTTGGGCTACAAGTTATTACAACATTTGCAACAGCCCTTCCCACAAAGTCTAACTTTTATACTACATATTTTCCGGATAGTTACAAGTAACTGATTTGTCAGTGGAAGTCAGAAAAAGAAAAAAAATAGCACGCACGCAAACACACATAAATTTAATATAAATCATCAATTTTGCTCAGAACAGAGAGAGAGAGAGACAGAGACAGAGAGAGAGAGAGAGACAGAGAGACAGAGAGAGAGAGAGGGAGAGAGAGAGAGAGAGAGAGAGAGAGAGAGAGGAGAGAGAGAGAGAGAGACAGGGGGAGAGAGACAGAGAGAGGGAGAGAGGGAGAGAGAGAGAGAGAGAGAGAGAGGTTCCCCTACGCTGCCTGACTCATGGAATTGACAAGAAAAACAGAGATGATGTCTGATAGTATCACAGCGCGATAATTAGAAATTCAAATCGAATTCGGCAATTATTTTACGTCATATCTACTTATTATAAATTCTACATATTGTTTTGGATTTTAATAATACAGATGGAGATGAAAGTCAGATACTACTTAATTAATGGATGGATGATCACCAAAATTTGTCTGTAGCATTCTTATTATCAAATTTGCTCATTTTAATTTGATTGGCCCATGTCTCTAGAGCTAAAAATAGAAAAAAACTTTAAACGTCTCCTTCTACAGAACTTATTGATGGATGATCACCAAATTTTGTCTGTAGCATTCTTAGGTAGCGTTTTATCAAGTTTGTTCATATTAATGTGATTCGCGCCTTTTAGGGGCCGCTTAAGCTAAAGATAGAAAAAAAAACCTTTGAACATCATCTTCTTCTGAAATGATTGGTGGATGATCACCAAATTTGTCTGTAGCATACTTAGGTAGTCTTTTATCAAGTTTACTCATATTAATTTGATTGGCCCCTTTAAGGGGCCGCTAAAGCTAAAAATAGAAATTCCTTTAAACGTCTGCTTCTACATAACTACTTGATGGATGATCACACAATTTTGTCTGTTACAGTAGCATTCTTAGGTAGTCTTTTATCTTTAACTGAAAAGCTGTTGTTTCTGGTTGCCATCATGGCCCTCTTGCTTGTTGAAAATATTGGTGTTTTAGAATGACAGCTGTGTGTTTGCTGTTCATTATTTTATGAAAAGTTAATAATGTACTTACATTTTTTATTTTTAAGACAATGCAAATAAATATAATGGTATATTTCCTTGTACAAGAACTTTGATATTAAGTTAATAACATCAAAATTAAAACAGTATAGTCCGCTGGAGAAGATGCAAACATGATTCAGATAAAAGTTTGGGTTCTAGTTCTTTTATATTGTTAATCATTACGTATATGATGCACATGACCGGCCATTGTTTACCTTTCCTGTCATTTAATTACATCTCTTATGTCTGGACATGGACTTTGATTCTTTCATGCAAGGAAATTATCCAGCTAGCTTACGGAACTTCGGTGGTTCTACTCAGGTTCCCGTTTGTACCTACAATGAACGGAAGGGTATCTTCCTCTATATATTGTAACATATACTGTGTCAGTGTGACATAAAATCCTATCAAATAAATTCAAAATTCTTACGTCAGTCTGTTTATAGATAACTTTATGTTCGAGTTAGCTTTATCTTAACTTTTTTATACCTTACGTTAACATTCAATATATTTTGCTGTTTTACCATACACAATAAACAGAGACATTTATTCACATGTTATTGGAGCAAAATAGCTTATTGACATTCAAAGCTATTTGTGTGTCAATGTCTATTTCATCACAAGGTAGTATTTAACTATGTTCTAATTGTTTCACGCCGAGCCTATATATTGTAAGCTATAGTTTGGGCATAATCACGATGAACACTTTATTCTTCTGACCATCCCTTTGTAGCTACGACAATGTGCAATTTCATTTTTTCCGCCCCCACACAGTTTTGCCTACACGTTGCTATCTTTTAAGCTGCGCCCCTGAGTTCATCTGTTATTAGTCTTCGGTAAAGATGTTTAGATGTTTGTTTGTAATAACTGTCTCAACCCATGTCATATAATGTCTGACGCATTTATTAATTATAATATTATGGTTATTGTGTCTTCTTCAACAACATAATTATACAGGGAAACCGTCCAAAACTAATTCCTAGACGTTCGGACAGTGAACACATTTTGGGACGGAAGGTACAAACACTGGACACAAATAACCAGAAGGCTATGCAGATTTTAACACTTTATTCTTATTCATGGAATATACAAGTATATCAATGTTATATACAACAATGCGATTCTCTGAAATTAACATATAAACAAACTAAATACTTATTGCAACGCATTTAAAATAACATACAATAAATTGTCTAAAATAATAATGTTAATACAAATCATAAATATACGATGGTACCTTTACAATTATAGACTGAAATCTATGAAAATAATAATGTCATTTTATATTCCCGCAAATAATTCCGTTTATAATTAAATTCACGGCGAATAGTTCATTATCATTTAATAAAGATTGAATTTACTATTGAAATTCAATCATAATAAATAACTAGCTTACCGATTATGATGGAAAACATCAATAAACAAATACATCAATAATTTAAAGCACTTCCACCCAAGGCAAAACAACATATTAAAGTTACGGTAAATGACGTCACCGTAAAACAATTTAATGACGTCTTTTTACGGGAAACAAAATAAGACGTTCCGTTTGGCGGAAATAGTGAAGTTTTCTTAAATTGAAAGAAACTGGATGAAAAGGAAGAATTCAAAGAAACCACACGTCAACACCGGATTAATGTGAACAAAATTTTAATAATAATCTACCGGTTTCAAACCTATCTGGGTTTTCATCAGGATAAAATTTACAAAAAATAAATCTAGCTTTAGAATAATCAAAGCGCTGAAAGCACTGCTGGGGGCGCATTATGTTGATTGTATAGTGGTCTATTGTTACAAGCAGATGCCATTCCTACTTTCAAAGCAGATGTCACATTTTTACTCGATTATTCGATAAGAATAAGTAGAATTATCCTAGTCATCTGAACATTGGCGTCTATCACCTCAATTTTCCCGAAGTCCATTGACATATGGCATTGAAACTTTGCACACTTGATCCCGATCAGGCACCCATTTGTTAAAGATTGCCTATGGCTTCAAGATATTTTCGTATTCCATAGACATCTGGCTTTGAAATAAATTGAAATTTTATACATTTCTTTGCGAGCATACTAGCTAGGACTCTCTCCAATGCTTATATCTGTAGAATATTGGGTTTAAAGAAATTTTTGGTCCTTTTGTGAACTTAAAATATTTTAAATAACCAAGGTTCTTCTATTGTCAAGCACTAAGCATATAGTTGAGTGTGCTGTCCTACCAACAGCTATTGTTTGCATACCTTGTGAAATATAACTCCTTCAAACTTTTGTTCAGTTATTATTATGCAAACACAAGAACTGTCTTAGGACAGTAAGGCTCGACTATTCGAAAAAGTTGTCACAAGGGTGTTTATCGAGTATAAAAATGCTTACCAATGAATACATAAAACTGACCGAAAAGGTACAAAGGCTTGGATTAAGATGTTTTATCAACTAAATCACTGCTTTATTATCATGAATGCATAAAATTGTCCCAAAAAAGGCACAAACCCTTCAGTAGCTATGGAGATAACATGCTTACAAGCAAAACTTTACCATTAAATTCTAAGTTGAAAAAGGGGAGAAAAATCAGCCTAAATGCTCGATAAAATTATGGATCTTGGTCAGTAACCTACATGTACAATTATGACCTTAAATGCATGTGAAGTTTTAATATTGTAGGCAGAGTTATCCAACTTGTCAATCTGATGTACATTGTTACGATAAATAACTATTGTAAGTTTCAATTGAATATCTCAAGCAATAATTGAGATATTTGACTTTAAAATAAACTTAAACCAACGCAGACGCGGACGCTGGGTTACTACAATAGCTTTCATATTTTTCAAATAGTCGAGCTAAAAACTACCAAGTCATGGTTGACACCATATAGTTATTCCATATATAAATATATATATGTATATATCATGGAAAACATTTCAAGATGTTACAATGGATTGTAGTGTATAACAAAGAAAATCAGTGTACTTTAACTTTAATCCAATAATCATACAAACATCTGTAAATAACTGGAACAAAATATTTCTTAAATAAAACCATACAAAACAAGAGGGCCATGATAGCCCTAATCGCTCACCTGACTTATCAAACTCATCCAAACAATTACCTAGACAAGCATTCTGACCAAGTCTCATGACAGGTGAGTCAAAAATGTGACCACTACAGTGTTAACAAGGATTATCCATATTTGAGCAGTGCGACCTAGTTTTTACCCAGGTGACACATATTCAAACTTGACCTAGAAATCATCAAAACAAACTGTCAGACCAATTTCCAGGATACTTGGATAAAAACAGTAGCAACTAGAGTGTTAACAAGATTTTTCTATTTTTAGCTCCGGTGACCTAGTTTCACATGCGATTTCGAACTCATCCAAGCAATTACCTAGACAAGCATCCTGACCAAGTTTGATGATAATTGAGTCGAAAATGTGACCACTAGAATGTTAACAAGGCTTTTCCATATTTGGGCGGTGTGACCTAGTTTTTCATCCAAGATGACCCATGTTGAATCTTGACTTAGAAATCATCAAAACAAACTTTTAGACCAATTAACAGAATATTTGGATCACAACAGTAGCCACTAGAGTGTTAACAAGATTTTTCTATTTTTATCTCCTGTGACCTAGTTTTTCATCCGAGATGTCCCATGTTCGATTTATTCCCAGCAATGACCTAAGCAAGTTTCCTGACCAAGTTTGCTAACAATTGAGTCAAAATTGTGACCACTAGAGTGTTAACAAGGTTTTTCTATTTTTAGCTCCTGTGACCTAGTTTTTCATCCGAGATGACCCATGTCCGAACTCATCCGAGCTATCACCTAGACAAGCATCTTAATCAAGTTTGATGATGATTGATGCAAAAATGTGACCACTAGAGTGTTAACAAGGTTTTTCTATTTCTACCCCAGGTGACCTACTTTTTCATCCGAGATGACCCATGTTCAAACTCATCCGAGCTATCAACTAGACAGACATCTTGACAAAAGTTTGATGATGACTGATGCAAAAATGTGACTGCTAGAGTGTTAACAAGGTTTTTCTATTTTTAGCTCCGGTGACCTTCTTTTTCATCCGAGATGACCCATGTTTGTACTCATCCGAGCTATCACATAGACAAGCATCTTGACCAAGTTTGATGATGATTGATGCAAAAATGTGACCGCTAGAGTGTTAACAATGTTTTTCTATTTTTAGCTCCGGTGTCCTACTTTTTCATCTGAGATGACCCATGTTCGAACTCATCCAAGATATCAACTAGATAAGCATCCTGACCAAGTTTGATGATGATTGAGGCAAAAATGCGACCGCTAGAGTGTTCACAAGCAATTGTGGACGGACGACGGACATTCACCGATCCTAAAAGCTCACCCTGAGCAAGCTCAGGTGAGCTAAAAACCAAAAACTGATGATGACAGAACGGGTATCACTTTATGCCTATAAAATTTTTTTTGCTCAAGTGATTTTTTTTCGAAGAGCTACATATGAAATTGCTGCCAAATATACATAAGTAAAATCTATTTCAAAGCTGCATGCATTCATATAAATATATTTAAAAACAAGGAACATCGCAATGCGATGCAACCAGGTTTTCAGCAAAATATTTCACAGAAGCTTTGTCATGAAGGGGCATTTGTTTTTAATTGAACTTTTAGGAGGAATTATGGCTTTTTTAATATTCCTCAAACAAAAATGATTGAGAAATTTTATGTTGTCTATTCGCCTTTTTTTCCCAAATGTTTTAGAAAGGTAAACAGTACTTTATTTTTGCTTAATTTTTGCATTTTTGCGTCTCTTGTCATTTTCTTTTGTCAACAATATTGGCGTGTGGTGTTTTGTGCGATATCAAGAAAAGTATGTTCACAATTTTAAAAAAATACTTGAATGATGTCTTGGAAGAAACATGGGAATTTAGTGAGCGCCAGGGCACTTGATGACAAAGCTTCTGTGAAAGTTTGGTCAAAATCCATTGAGAAATGTAGGTGAAGTTGCGCACTGTAGAAATTGTTCACTATATATTCTGTATAAGGAAAAAATATACAAAGGGCCATAATTCGGTCAAATATTATCCAATCACAAAACCCCGACAATATGTGCCAGGCACTTGAAAAACAAAGCTTCTAAGAAAGTTTGGTCAAAATCCGTTGAGAAATGTAGGAGTTGAGCACAGAAGAAATTGTTCTCTATATATTCTGTATAAGGAAAAAATATACAAAGGGCCATAATTCGGTCAAATATTATCCAATCACAAAAAACCCCGACAATATGTGCCAGGCATTTGATAACAAAGCTTCTAAGAAAGTTTGGTCAAAATCCGTTGAGAAATGTAGGAGGAGTTGCGCACAGAAGAAATTGTTCACTATATATTCTATAAAGGAAAAAAAAAACAAAGGGCCATAATTAGGTCAAATATATACCAATTGCAAAACCCTGGCAATATGTGTCAGGGCACTTGATGACAAAGCTTCTGAGAAAGTTTGGTCAAAATCCGTTGAGAAATGTAGGAGGAGTTGCGCACAGAATAAATTGTTCACTATATATTTTATATAAGGAAAAAAAACAAAGGGCCATAATTAGGTCAAATATTATCTAATCGCAAAACCCCGACAATATGCGCCAGGGCACTTGATGACAAAGCTTCTGTGAAAGTTTGGTCAAAATCCGTTGAGAAATGTAGGAGGAGTTGCGCACAGAAGAAATTGTTTACGCCCGCCCGCCCGCCGACATACCTCAATCTAATAACCAGTTTTTTCCTTCGGAAAACCTGGTTAAAAATCAAACTTGATTAAATAAAAAAAAGTTCAAGGATAGCCCAAACTTGTTAATTATAAAAAATATATATACAGAGTATTATGTTGTAGTAGCTCTCTGAGGCTTTGTATTTTGCTATGAGCAGTGGTGGGAAATTGATATCTTGCGAGACCAAAGGGCGAGCTAGATAACAATTTTCCAACATTGCAAGTAGAAAAATGCATAGCCTCAGAAAACTACTACAACATAATTTTCCTTTAATAATATACCTTTTCGTTTGAAGTATAAATGATTTTCATTATACTACACTTATACAAGAAATTTCAGAAAAAGAAATGTAGCTGTCAAGAAATAAATTATGACTGACAGATGAATACGTAATGTGTGCAAAACCAGCCACACCTTTTATTATTTTGGTTGCCATTTCCATATACTATGTTATACACAGCTAAGATCAGAACCAACATTAACAAGAACCGGTTGATGCTCCCCGAGAAGGTTCTGGACACTGGAAAGTATAAAAAAAATGAACAAAGGGCAAAAACCCCGAAATTAGGCAAAGCGGAGTTATTTTTTTTTTTGCACTGCACTTCTATTCAATTAGATCTTTCTATCTATAAAGTTGCCTGATGATATCAGAGTTATGTCCAAGGTAAAATTCAAAGTGTAAAAATGAAATTAGGGTAATAACTCCAAAATTAGACCAGGCTTTCTTTAGGTTCTTTAAGCATTGCAGTTCTATCCAATTATATCTAGCTACCTACAAAGTTTCATGTTGATATCTCTAATAGTTTTAAAGTTATGTCTCGGACAAAAGTCAAAAAGTAAAAATAAACAAAGGGCAATTACTTCAAAATTAGGCAAGGCAGAGTAATGATTCTTAAGCACTGCTTAGAGTAATGTCCTGGACAGAGTTTAAAGTGTCAAAATGATCAAAGGGCAATAACTCCAAAAGTAGGCAACAGTGTTACAGTTCTTGTGCACTGCAAACTTACTCAACGATATCTATCTACCTACAAAGTTTCATGTTGATATCTCTTTTACATTGAGAGTTATGTCTCGGACAAAGTTCAAAGTGTAAAAATAAACAAAGGGGGATAATTCAAAAATTAGGCAAGAGTGAGTTAAGGTTCTTGTTCACTGCTTACCAACTCAATGAAATCTATCTACCTACAAAGTTTCATGTTGATACCTGTTATAGTTTTAGAGACAAAGTTCAAAGTGTAAAATAAAGAAAGGGGGATAATTCAAAAATTAGGCAAGGCAGAGTTACGGTTCTTGTGCACTGCATACCAAGTCAATGAGATCTATCTACCTACAAAGTTTCATGTTGATACCTCTTATAGTTTTAGAGTTATGTCCCGGACAAATTTCAAAGTGTAAAATAAACAAAGGGGGATTATTCAAAAATTAGGCAAGGCAGAGTTACGGTTCTTGTACACTGCACACCAACTCAATGAGATCTATCTACCTACAAAGTTTCATGTTGATACCTCTATACTTTTAGAGTTATGTCCTGGACAAAGTTCAAAGTGTAAAATAAACAAAGGGGAATAATTCAAAAATTAAGCAAGGCAGAGCTACAGTCTTGTGCACTGCACACCTACTCAATGAGATCTATCTACCTTAACCTACAAAGTTTCATGTTGATACCTCTTGTTGTTTCAAAGTTAAGTCCCGGACAAGAAAAGGGGATGGACGGACGGACAAGGCGGCGACTATATGCTCACCCGAAATTTTTCGGGGAGCATAAAAATAGTCCAGGCCTTTCATATATGGTACTGTTTTGTCTCTAACGTAATACAGAATTTTCTAACCGTTGAAAACTATTTGCGCTTCAAGATAATCCTGTGTTTTAGGAAGAAAATTTATTGGTATATAATAAATGCTGTCATTGACATTTCTTATGCTTATATTTATTATATGTATTTCTTGCAATCCTATTTATAGCTACAAATTCTATGAATTAAAATAGAAAATGAAGGTAGCATGCAGACGGTGTTGATATTGTGTGATAAAAATTTAAAGACATCATTGGAAATCATCCAAGTAACCGAATACTCTAAATGACCGAGCACTCGAGTATTGATTTTAGTAATTGTTGCCATCCCTAAAAAATAAAGTACTTGACAAGATCAACTAACATCTAAATAAAAAACTTTGAAAACAGAATTAATTATTTTGAAAAATTCACTCTGAGCTGTATTATTTAAAATGGGTGTTCAAACACATTGAAAACATTGATAATTCATTTCATGTTCTTGGTGATGAAGTGGTGCCTCAAATATAGTTATCACTGCAATCTATCTTCCCTCATAACTCCTACTATTACTGTATCTGTCAAACAAGCATCTCTGTTTTCTGAAATAGAGTTTGAAAAAGTTTATTGCTGACCGAGATATTCCATACTTGTATGTTAACTTTTTTTCAGCATCTTTCTGTTAGAATTACTCTGATTTATAAAGGTATAAAACCAAAAAATGCGCGACCAATGCCAGAGCTCAACCCCTCTGATCAGATTTCACAAACGAGCATCTGAGTAGAACCACCGCCTTTTTTTAAAGCTAGCTGGATTGCTTTCTCACATTTAAAGAATCCATATTAAATATAATAGAACATTGATAATTGCTACACAGTCTCTTTGTAAACATAAAATAAGCATGTTTTGTGTTTACATAAAGTAGCTATGTAATGTTAAAACACCACATGCTATAGTTGGTCACAATATAAATATATAGTGTTGTTAGGAAACTGACAGTTTTTTTAAGAAGGACCAAATTTTTTTTTTGTCTCGTAAGAAGGAACATGGCTTCCAATGCATAGTTAATTCATTCAAATTAGACATATTCAAAAAGAATTGCATAGAATTCAATACATTTTCATGATTAAAATATTTTACTGATGAGCATAGTATATCTTTAAAGGTAAGTGGTTTAGGTGCATTTCTTTGACTATGGTCACCCAATTAAATCTATTTATTTGCTTAGTAACACAACTTTTTAAAGTCATATAAATTTGTAAATGTGAGTGATTCTGATAATCTATATACAGCTAAGTCAAGATGAGATGATTAGGTTTTACTGACTGCTTACTACATGAAGTCACTATTTCAATGTCAAATGCCTTGAGGTGAAAGGAATGAAAACTTGAATTTCAAAATACAATTTAAGTGAATTACATGTCACAAATGAGCCGTGTCATGACAAAACCAACATAATGGGTTTGCGACCAGCATGGATCCAGACCAGGTTAGTCTGATCAGGATCCATTCTGTTCGCTTACAAACCTTATTACAAGTAGAGAAACTGATAGCGAACAGTATTGATCCTGATCAGACTGGGCGGATGCCCATTATGTTGGTTTTGTCATGACACGGCTAAAACGTTTTTGCTATCGACTTTTGTTCCTAAATTAACAACAGAATGCATAATGAAATGATATTGAAATAATTAATATACAATTGGCTCTTAGTGCCAAGCTTACAGATTTTAAATAAACCTTGAGCCCTGTGTTGGCCTTTAAACATGTCAAACATTTAGAAAGTATTTATTAAGGAAAAGTGTGTACAAATAATCATGTACCTCTTCATTATATGCCCATGACATTGAAAAAACATTGTGTCATCTGTTTACTTCAAGGTTAGTCACATTGACAGTATCACATTTTAGACTTTATCTCTCTTGATTCCAGTCATAAAAAGCATTCTCAAAATGGGTCCTCTTAATTTCACATTCATCAATCTGACAAAAACCTCCTGGAAAAGAAGTTAGAAACATATGCCACTAATTATGTCAGTTAATGTCAAATAAAATACTTTGAGAAAACTATTTGGTCAAAATTGTAAATGTACAAAGATTTTCAAACCAAAATATATATATAACAATGAACATTTCCTTTTTAACTTTCTAACATATATAATGTATGGTCTTACTTGAAGAAAATGTTTGCCCGTGTGACCGAAAAGGGATTAAGGACCATTACTATTGTTTTTCCTTTTGTTTATTAAAGGGCCATGGCCCATATTCTATTGTTATGGAATGAATTCTATTGTTCTCTTTTGTTATGCTACAGTAAGATGGATATATATATCAAAGTCAGAAAAAAAGCTAACATTTTTTACCTTAATGGCCTGTATAATTATGTTTCACAGCTTCTCAGCAAACAACCAACTGAGCCACAATTGAAATCTAACAAACAAGCCTTTATTCACAAACCTGAAATAAAAACTTTTCCTAATCAATACAATAGTTCTTTTAATTTATTACATACTTCATTGAAACATTAAGAAATATTGATAAAGTAAAATGCTCATTTTCATTTCCTGTATTTTCAATGTAATTATTCATTTTTCATTGCGTATTTTCACAAGTGTCTCCTAAATTTAGCCTATACACAATAGACTGTAAAGAATAATAGGACAATTTCTTTATAATTTCAAGTATTTATAGTCGAAACAGTCCTTTTTAAAGGCATATATATGGGTAAGTTGAATGTTGCATGTCCAGATATGATTGACTAACAATTGTAAAAGTGAGTAATAATTGTCGGAATCATAGCTCAATCGGTAGAGAACATAGCTCGAGGGTACCAGATTTCAAAAAAAAAAAATATTAATTTTGTTCTGACATGTCAGGAACAACTTAGACATGTCAGGAACAACTTGAAATTTAAATGTGTTTTTCGTTTGATTGATTTTTGTTACCTATCTTAATTTTTCATTGAAGTATCTTTACCTTCTTAAAAAATTATGCCCAAATCTCATTTCTTTCTCTTTTTTTTAAACTTCTTTTCATGAATTTAATATAAATATTTTCAACAGATTTTAAAATAATCAAAATACAACACTGTTAAGCATATATAAACTGTTGTCAGGATTAAGTTTTGTTTCATCAAAAAAAAACTTGAATAGAAAATAGAACAGTTTCCACCTGTAGTTTGGAATCCATTAACTGAATTCACTTTTATATCAATATTATGCAGTCTTAAACTTATTTTCACTAGTAAGTCAAATGATTTATTATCTCAAACAATGTAATTACATGTAGTATAAGTTTTTATGGAAATAATGTGGTTAATCACTTGCAGTTAATCAAGGCTCGACAAATCCACTTGTCCGCTCATAAATGATAAATACGAGTAAAAAATGACTCTGGACAAGTTAATCTCCCAAAAATGCCCGTCCTGCAGGACATGTGAAATTTCTAGCATAAATTAATCAAATTTCAATTCAATTCTTTTGAAAACCATTTTTCAAGTTTTACTAGTAAGACAGAGCACAAAATAATTCCGTGTGTTTGATGGGCAAAACTGATGTTGATTTGTTGAATGCAACGCTTAATTCTGTCCGATTCTATTTTGTAAAAACTTACTAAAAGCCCGTGCGGCGATTCCAGTATGTTCCACAAAATTTTTTTTAAAATGTAACAATGCAATATTCGGCAAATGTTTAGCCAGAAAGAAGTTAGTTAAACAGTGTCTTCAAAAAAGAAAAATTGTCTTCAAAAAAAGAAAAATGAGTCAGAACATGTAGGAAATTTTATATTTTTTAAGCATTGTTGTTGTTGTTGTTTTTTCGTTTTTCAATCCCTGATATATTATTTGTAGTATTTTGTAACTATTATCTATTCTATTTGTAATAGAACAGCATTTTTTCCCTTATAAAACTATTTACGTTCCCAATAAAAAAAGACAGCAAATTTTCAAATGTTTTTTTTTTAAAGTCCCCAAAATTACTGTCAAAATTCCCATCCAAAATTGGCATATATAAAATGGATGATTTCATATTGATAAGTGATATGTGATAAAAACCAAGTACAACTTCATCTGACAGAGCAATATTTGTACCTAGTTCATTTTATACTTCCGAACATTATTTATGTACATGTACTCATTTTTTCACTCCAATAGGAAATCAATATATTATGCATGGTTTAACTTTAAATGTGTATAAATATTATGCATAATTCTCATGTCTCCCTGGATAAAATTCAAAAATTAACCATGTGGCATGAATACCTGTCAGTTATGTAGTATCAATTTGAGTCAAAAACGCATTTTTCCAAAAAAAAAAATTGTACTGGTAGCGTATTAAGAAAATAGTTATCCAGAACTAAGCAAATGTCAGGGTTTTTCGATGCTAATCCCCAGTGTAAATATAATTATAACCTTACTCAAATTTCTTAAAATGAGGGGTGAAGTGTCTGCAAAAAAAGGGCCTAGGGTGACGTGTCTGGGGGGTGAAGTGTCTGTAAGCCGAGGTGATGGACAAGGCAAGACATGTCAATTTTTTGTAGCTTATTATGAAGTTGCAGTACAATGAGAGACTGGCACTACTTGTATATTTTTTATCTAAAAAAAGCTGTAAGGTAAGCATCAACAATATGTATACGCTAGATAAAAAACTCACCTCCAAAAAATATATATAAAAAAATGGGTCAAAAAATGTCTGGGTAGGAAATGGTTTGAGGAGGACTTTCAAGGGAAGGAACTGCTAAAACTTAAAATTTGATAAGGTCAATTCAGTACAAAAAAAGCTTTACCCGATAATGGCCGATTGTGAAGAAAATTTGTAAAAAATAGAGCTTTTAATTGCAACTTAAATATCAACGTTCTGAAATATAAACAATGAACATCAGTCATCTTGAATAACGTTGTATTGAAAGTCATATCCGGTATTAAGTCAAACTCTTGTATTTTTTGTAAGCAACCAGAATCGCCAACGATTTCGCCACTGATAAATGGATAAATGCAAAACAAGCAAAGTTATTCAACAGTTAGGTAAATGGGAGATAAGGTTTTTGTAATATAAAACTTACAACTCGTTTTAACACGTGGAACTTCTATATAAACTTCTCAATCTTTTCACGGATGAACTTGTAAAACAATGGCGATTGCGGTTAAAATGACGTTAGGGCGAAAATAGTTCGTATTCATACGCATGCATTTTTTTTCTTAAATTAACACTTATGAAGCATTAGGCCCTATAAGCTTTAAAGTTAGCTGATCTGAAATCCGTATTCCATTACTTTGCTAAATTTTTGAGTTCTATGACACTTAATTAACTTGTGACTACATGTAATTTATACTATATTTATGCAAGTACTTTGGCTATGATCGACCGCTGGCGTAGTAATATTAAAATCGCTTAAAGCAAAAATATACATACAATTTTAAAAGACGATTGCTAAATTTAGTACAAAATTGGCCAGTCAATTTTAAAATAGATAGGGAACTATGATTTTGGAGTTACTGCGAAGTTTTGGAACTATTTTGCTTAGCGTAGGTAGCTGACTATTTGTGGTCATATCATAGTAAATCTGAATTTGTCGTTATTCCATTGGGGGCGCATTGCGCATGCGCCCCCAAAAATTGTGTAAGATGGTAAGTCACGTGATATATAAAAATAGTAACAAAATTAATAAATGTTTCTAAAAATAGATAGAGTTTTGGAAAGTTGCCAGGAAAGTTATGGAGGTGTGCCAAGGTTCTTAGTCTTTTTTTAAAATGTTGTTTGGAAAATACCATATATACTGTAAACGTTGATGATCAGTTCATTTCACTATTATACAATAAGTGTTCATCCTCGCAGATTGTTGATGATGATGAGCTATTACTTGGTGATTTGGTGCGGTCTGTTTGTAGATATTTTTTAGTTTGTGGTGTTGGGCTTAACGGTGATACTGGTCTTGAAATTTTAAAGTTTAAATCTTCTATCTTTGGTTGTTTGTAAGTTTTCTTCCTTTTTAAAAAATTCTGGAAACAAAGTGATCCCTCGGAAGCATTAATCACAACAAAATAACATAAGAATTGCAGACTAGGTTTGATTGAGTCTGTACATGAGGGATAATGAATTAGTGCAACATCCCTCACGCCCCCTAGCACCGGCTTGAGCGGTACTCAATTCTGAACACTTTAAAGTGTTGGCATCAATGATCCCGAAGGACCAGAAAATATAACAACACTGAAGTGAAGTACGGGGCAACTTTTTACGGCTGCCACACGGCACTTGACACCTGCTGTTGTGAAGTACAAAATTCTGGAAACAAAGTGATCCCTCGGAAGCATTAATCACAGCAAAATAACATAAGAATTGCAGACTCGGTTTGATTGAGTCTGTACATGAGGGATAATGAATTAGTGCAACATCCCTCACGCCCCCTAGCACCGGCTTGAGCGGTACTCAATTCTCAACACTTTATAGTGTTGGCATCAATGATCCCGAAGGACCAGAAAATATAACTTCACTGAAGTGAAGTTAAGTCTAATTGTCCGGTCTTGCCTTGAATGATTCTAAAAGTTGGTTTCTTGAGAATAGTCATCTTTTTGGGAGGGTCTTTTGGTGGAGTCGTGGATTTAAAACTTTTACCATATGAAATGTTTCCTCACGTAGAAAATAGATATTTCTCGAATAACGTTTTAAAGAGTCTCTCCTTGCTAAAAGTTTCTGACACCAATCACATCTAAATTTGTATGTTGTCTGTTCATGTTTTTTCATGTGTCTTCTTAGGTTTTTTGCTGAATTTACAACTAGTTTGCATGTATTACATATGTGGATGTTGTCTATAAAATTCAGTTGTTCTTATTCTTTTTCTGTGTAGTCTTCTAATTTCTTTGCATACAATGTATCTTTTAAATCAAATTTAATCCGTCTGGTGTTTTTGTGTTGAGCTTCTTTATCAATAGTTCTTCAGTTCGTAACCTTTTGTTTAGATTGCGCTCCGTGTTTTGTATTATCGTAATCGTGATGTTCTTGACGTGTTCTGTGCCGAAATTGCGCGCAATTGGCTTAAATGTGTTTTTTCGCTCGAATATCCGCCATTTGACCATAGAGTCTTTCTTTCATAGTGTTGCCCGTCTGACCAACGTACTGAATGTTACATTTTTTGCAAGTTATTAGGTAAACAAAGCTCGGAGGTTTACATGATTGCCCTTGAATTTTAAATATCTCTGACGTTGTTCTGCTTTTAATTTCTACCGAGTTTTTCATGAATTTACTAGCAAAACAATTCTGTTTGCATGTGTAGCTTCCCTGTGTTAGTTTCTTGCAGTTTAAATCTGACTTGATTAATAGATCTCTCATGTTTTTCGTTCGACAATGAACTGCTAGAATTTTGGCATTTTTAATGAAATAGATAAATACAGAATCCCTAAAGAAAGCCCAACACGGCAAAATTGAAAATGTTGCAGGCTCGGTTTGATTGAGCCTGTTCATGGACGGTACTGGAAAGTGCAAATTACCGTCCCCGCACGTCCCTAGCACGGGCTTAAGCAGAATTCAACATTTAAACACAAAAATGGTGAGTTTTGAATATAGTAACATCCGCAGATGTGTTCATATGGCGGTTATCATGGAACCTTCAATGTGACACAGTAGTGTCATTCCATGAAAAGCGGCGTATAGTCCCCAAGTAAAAGAATGCGTGTGCTCTAAACGAGAAAACAATGGGTGGAACTAAATAAAGTAGAGTTTTGAAAGGGGATTTGAGGTTATGAAGCCTGCATATCACAGACTAGACGTCAAAAGACAAATTTTAAACGCAGGCAACATATTCTAAGGGTGATTCTTCAGTATTCAAGTAGGTATACTGTAACCACCCAACGAGAAAATGCCGAAAAGTTGAAACTAAAAATACCACAAGCACAACAATAATGTCGTGCTGAACGATCTTCAAGGATCGAAAATATAACATCATTGATTAAATGTACGGGGAGACTTTTTACAGCCGCCACACGGCACAAATAACACGGATGTGATCATAAAATAGATAAATACAGAATCCCTAAAGAAAGCCCAACACGGCAAAATTGAAAATGTTGCAGGCTCGGTTTGATTGAGCCTGTTCATGGACGGTACTGGAAAGTGCAAGTTACCGTCCACGCCCCCTAGCACCGGCTAAGCAGAATTCAACATTTAAACACAAATGGTAAAATTTTGAATTTAGAAACATCCGCAGATGTGTTCATATGGCGGTTATCATGGAAGTTTGTGGATCTGTTCTCTTGTAGAATTTTAAGAAATGTTTTGAAAATCTTTTGCGCTGGCGGAACGAAAGGGTTGTAAGTAGTGATGAATGGAATGATTTGTTTATCCTGATTCCGTGGTTCTTTGTGCGTAAATAGATTATTTCGATTCATTTTCCTAGCTTTGCTAATTGCGTGTTTTATTAGTTTACAAGGGTGTCCTCTCATTCGTAAATTGAAAGAGTGAAACAATGTCTTTAATAGTAGATACTATCGGACAAATCAACTTACGAAAATCATGTGATTATAAACAAAATAAATTTACAATTAAGAACTACAATTCTTACAGACTATGTATGGCTGTACATAATCTTTGTGTGATATAAATTTTACTGCCCTATCTGACCTTTGTTCTGTCGTGCTAATATCTTCTTCCGTACTTTATAAAACATAAATATCAATGATGAGTAATGCTCGAATAGACATTATTTTTTTAGCATACTTTTCAACTTTTAATGATGATATGTTGGATAAATATCGATACCACCTACGCATGATCGTTCAAGTTATCGCTTTCCAAAACTATTTTGGGTAAAGTTAATGGTAATCATTTGGCATAAGGTTTCTGTAGCTGTCTAGGGATTAAGGTTATTTAGTGAACGCATTATCTTTATACAGCTGTTTTATAAGATAATGTTTATTTTATTTCGTAAAGGCAGACAAAAATCATTGTCTGAACTCTTTCAAAAATTTTATGTTTGCCAGTTTGAATGAAAGATAACTTGTTATCATGAAAGTAGTTCATTAATTGTAACAGTTATGAGGTACACATTCTCCAAAACAGTGTTACAGAATGACTGCAATATCAAATGACAGCAATATTTAAAAAGGTCACACAGTCACATGGAATTAGTTATAAAAGGTAATCGTCTCCTTTGTAATAGAAATAATATTAATTTAAACATAAACTTACGTTCTGCTCAATACGCAGATAAATGATACGCCGATAGGACCACATTTTCTTCAAAATTATAATTTAGTGCCTAGTTTGATATAAAATCATCTAACGATGTTTTCAAGAATATGTTAGTGTATTATGACAATTAAAAAAAGTGTTTTACAATGTTGAAATGTATGTACAGTTTTACCAACACATAAGAGAAATAATCGGGCAAAAGAAAATTGTTGAGTAAAGAGACACCATTGAAAGTGTTCGGCATTAATTTAATTTAAATGGATAAACACCACTGTTCTACAATATATAAATTTTGACATGCAAGTAATAACTTTAAAATAATATTTACGATTTTTTACAATTCTAGACATATTTATTACCCACGCGGCGCTTTGAATGTCAAAACAATCCATTGTAAATTCTGCAATGGTAGAATTTAAGGGATAAAGAAATTCCAGACGACGGTTGAATAGTGCAATTCAATTATATTCCATATAAGCTAGCAAACAATTTTTGATAATGTAGACATTTTATGAAGCAACAAAAGAGAAACATCTTTCGGAGTTAATATGATTTGTATAAGACAGTTGAAATAGTCATCATTTTATCCTCTTCTGATAAAGTTACTTTGCAGCTATTCTTATATTTTTTTCATCAGAAAATGCCTGAATATTGCAAATTATATGAAATACAGAAAATATGTATCCCTGTATAAAACAAAATTTTCCGAGATAAGTGAGCACGAAAAACATCGGAAACAGAATAGATCTGAAGTATAATTAAATACACGTTTAAATAAAATAAAGAAAAATAAAATCCCTAAAGAACGCCAAAAGGACAGAATTAAAAATGTTGCAAGTACGGTTTGATCGAGCTCTTTATTGATGGTACTGGAAAATGGAAGTTGTATATAAAACTCATTGTTTTCTCGTTTAGGGCACACGTATTTTTTTAATTGGGGAC